AAGATCTGAGCTGTAAATGGTTGAATAAGTGACTTCTATGACTAATTATAGGTTTCATTCTGGTATTTATTTGTTGCAGTTCATACCTTTTCATGATGCTGTCTATTTAAAAATGGTTTACTGGGATTATCTTCCATTATTCTTATTGTATCAGTGGCATAATGTAGTTTTAATATTATTGTTTATCGTAGAATATCTCTATAGCAATATATCCTGCTCCAAAATTTGTTATTGTGACAGGCCTATCTTTCATTGTAGTAAAGTATGAACTCTCAGAACAAGCAGAAGATTTTATTTACTATAAATGAAAGACACTATGCTTACATGAATTGGGATGAAATCAAAATTGTGATCTGGCTCAAAGAATATTGTGATGAATATTTTTTGGCATACCACTCACCCCAACCAGTACAAACTGCACTCTTCCCTGTTGCGTGTACATACGTTTCCTTCAACAATTACTGTCCAAAAATAGCTTAAAAGAGCTTTACGTGTCTTTTAGTCAACAAAAGGTGCAGTTCAGTTCCCGCCCTGTCACAATAACTGTGTTCAGTCGTGCTATTCACAGAAAATGGAGAAGAACTACAGAGATGTTCACCATTTCACTTGAGACAAAACACTTGAGGTGAAACTAAAGAAAGCAAAGCCCGTGGCTGCTTGAGAGGTCAGAGGAGGACAGAGTGATTTTCAGTGTGTTTGTGTACAGAGAGAACAAAGTCTGACTCAGTCTGCTTTAATATTTACAGAAGTTCAAGGGTTGTCAAAAATATCGAAAATTAGATACCACTGGATATAACAACCAGTATCGATACTAGCTACTCATTTGAACAAGCATCAACACTGAAAAAAGCACATTCAAAAGGACAGAAATGAGCCTTTCTTGAATAGCTTCAGAATGATGAGCTTGAGCTGTATCGGAACAAGTATAAAGACGACATAGTCTACTAGCATTTTATGTCCATGGAACCCACCTGGCTGATTGAAGGATTACACAGGTATAAGGCCACATGGTAAAATAAACGAAAGTACTACAATTTTATGTTGAAAAATCACATTATATAAATAAAGAGTGTTTTGTTTATTATCATTTTGGCATCAGAATCAGTAGTGAGTATTGAGTTTATTTCTTAATATCAAAGTAGAGTTTGAAATTTTAGTATTGTGACAACATTACAAGAGCACAAAGTGGAACCATCCTTTTTCACAGATCCATTATTTTCAATATTGTTCTTAAAAATTGAGGAAGATACTCATAAGTCAAATTAACCTACAGTGGAAAAGGAAGACATGCACAACACATTGCACCAATACAATGCATCACTTACTACTGTTGACCAATGGTCTCCCCTTTATACTCATTGGAGAGATACCACCCACTGCAGACAGGTAGGAGGAATAACCCAAGTGTGCTTTTGGAGATGCTCTAATTATTTGGCTGGACTTTGGTAAACTTGCTCAAGTCTTCTTTGCAATCCCTTTTTCATGAGATGTTATTTGCTTTTGTCATCTGTGGTCCAATTGTAAATGCTTGACTGCTAGACTTCAGTAATGGATATGAACACAGCAGTGTGTCAGGTCATGTGAAGACTGGCATAAGAATATTCTCCTGAGATTATCTTTACAACAGCTGAGCTCAGTGTTTGTGTGAGCACTCATATATTAACCACAGTTGACCAGAGTCTAAGGATACAGCATGCTCCCTCTGCTGTCTAAGAGGTCAGAGATGTTACAAAGAAAAGTCTCATGATGCGCTCCTCTCCATTAGCTCTCGGGGCCGGGGCAGTTGTTCAGGATAATGCTCTTTAGTGCGGACGTGAGTTTTGTTCATGACCAATCATCTACATAATCACTACATCTTTAATGGTGCAGAGCAGTGACATCATAGTAAAGAGGACTTTGAACGTGGCACAAATAAAGTCACACAGTAACACTCCAGGGAGAATATCAAACATAAAAATCATAATAATCTGCAAAGATTATGCTTTGGTAATGTCATTCTTTTACAGCTAGTTTATTGCATTACTTAAATGTCTTATTAAATGTAGATGAGACTACTACATGCTATGGAAGAGCAAACCAGGTAGGACAAATGTTATAGAAAATAAAATCCCTCATAGCTCGTGCCAAGTCAGCTCTGAACATGCTGTGAGTTTTATGAGGTGCAGAGACCTCTGGTGCCTGAGTGGTGAGAGGTAACATCACTTCCTCCTTTTCTCAGCTCTCAATTTTACAGCATGGCTCTGGGGGACATTTCCCATTAGGCTCTTCTGAAACACATCCAGTGACAGTGGCCTCTGTAAACAAACCAGAGTTCATTCCGATAAGTCAACCAAAAGAAGGGTTCTTGTTGAGAAGGGACACTTGGGAAACTTTGAGGCACGTTTCACAGAAAGAGCTACATTCCATTGTTGAGCCCACAGCCCTGTCTTACCTGCAGCAAGTCCATGATAAAATCCCTGTGGCATTCACTCTGACGAAGAGACATTGTTTGGAAAAGCTTTTACAGTAAGTGAAACATGCCCCACCCAAGACTAATTAACATTCCCGCATTCTTCCTGGACATCTGTGAACACAAAGCTAAGATACCTCAACAGCAAATAGGTGGCACAACCCATTTAAATAACATGGCCATGTTTGTTTTTCTTTAAACTATCTGAAATTGTACACCATCCTTGTACCATAACATTGTATTGTTCTCTGTACTTTTGTTTTTACTTTTGTTAATGTTCATGTCTACAATCTCTTAATCCATTTAGCATAAGGTCAAACAGACACTATGGCTTGTGCTGCCTCCTATCACATTAGTGTGAAGTGCCGCTCTGCACAACATGGCATCATGAACCTGTTGACCTCTGCAGCACACACGCCATCCACATGAACCCAAACTCACACTCCTCGAGCACCCGAACATGTTGTCATTATCATTAAGTGGTCTCATAAAAGCCACTGACAACAACATGGATCACCTGGGGCCTGCCCATAAACAAAACCGGCTTACATCACAACACATTAACAGAGAGGCTACCCGAGCTCCATCCAACCACTGTTAGGCGGACTGGCCTTTCTGTGTTACATAAGCAAGTCACAGGTCAAAGGTTATAAACAACATCATCATCCGATCAGAAGGGGTGTTCTGGGCTAGAGAAAGGAGACACTCACCCAAAGTACAGGGGTGACAGTGACGCCCCAGTGCAGAGGTGCTGTTTCACATAGAGACGGGAGCTTTTATCGGGCCATTAAAGCCTCAAAAGGCAGAAGATTGGGTTCCCCAGATGCTCAGTGGCCATTATCCCACACACAGAGAGAGGGCCTATCCCAGGCATCTCTATTCACACCTGTCCACTCATATTCACATCACAAAGGCAGCTGCACCAGGAGGAAGAATCATTTGCACGGTTCAAATCACCGAGCGAGAAGGAAAAAATATTTTACAGGCCGATACATTTGGGCTGTTTACACTGGTGAGCGGTTTGTATCATCTTGTGTACTGATTGAATCCAGAATGTTTTGTTCATTCTTTTCTTGTTGGCAACTTCTTTCCTATTAGTTTTTTCCCTTCCAAAGCTGCCTCATACAGAAAAACACAATAGTTATTTACAGACAGATTTAGCATTTCAAACTAAATAAGTGTCCCTCCTGGTGCACTTCTGTCCATCTCTCAGACGTTGTGTGACAAAAGTATTATTTTCAGCACACTGTTGCTGACAAGAAAAGTGAAATACTACAGCAGAGAGGGATAAATGAAATATGGAACTAATGATAACTAGTAAATGTTTTTAGATCAAGTCACATATCCCATAGTTTTAGTTATACACCCAGTTACTCAATGAGCTGCCTATGGGCATGATCTAACATATCTAACATATCTATATGGTAAAAGACATTAAGCCTGAACCCTGCATTAGAGCCTGGATTGTGCCAGAAGAACAGTTCATTGTGGCCAATTGAAAATCTGCTTAGCCAAGTACTAATGGCCAGTGGACCAAGGGCAGATATGAAAATACAGGTTTTACAGATGGTAAAACGGGACGATTAAAGCAGTCAGAAAATATTCTTTAAAATACTTTCAAGAGATCACAATATGTCTGATGCTTTACAGTTGTTACGTCCTCACAAAAGCTAATGGGCCTTTGGGTGGCAGCGTTTTATAGCCTATCAGTTCCTGCATGTGACTAAACCACAGGAATTAGGTAAGAGACTTTCAAACAATAACAATGAAACACGAAGCAACTCCCAGGCTCCACACAGTGTAACTGCAGAAAAACAGTGTCCCCAGACCACATCCCAGGACCCCTCTCTCTCTCATATCACACAAGGGCAATTAAAGCAGACACATGAATGAGAGGAATTTCAAGACTTTAAGCAAAACACTGTGTGCTCCTTTCTTTTTTCTTTGGGGTCCAAAGTATTTGTTGGATCTGGGACAACAATTAAGCTAATAGGGATGGTAAAGTGAAAACACATTTCAGACATTCTTTCAGATTGTTTAACAGCAAGAAACCATAAAACATTACACAGACTGTTAGAAAATGTAAATACATTATCGAAAATTGGTTGACTATAACTTAAAATGAGGGAACAGACCTAGGCTTGGGGGAAACAACAACAAGAAATTATAGCATGTAATCAAAGCGTAGATTTTCGTAAATGCTCCATCACAAGAGTCACAACAATCCATCATCAAGGTAAAATAATAATAACCAACTTGTTTTTTACTTGAACATTATTTGTTCATTAGGCACCAAAATTACATAGCAACCTAATGACATTACATTTTGACAACATTATTCAAAGCAGGCCATACAGTGACAGAAATAAAGTAGGATTTGTAAAGTTTGTCTATACAGCTCGACCTCCATAAAGTAAAGTAGGCTCATTCTCAAAGTGTATTGTGTCCACCTGTTGTATTGAGTTGAGTTTTATAAAACAGGTAGCAGCAGACTGTCTTTATACTGTGACCTTATTAAACCTATAACGATATTAGAGCAGAACTGACTCACCTCGTTGGATGGTATGCTGACAACACCGGTTGATCTCCTTTTCTCTCGCAGTTTTCGCTTCTCAATCTGCCCTTTGCCCTTCCTGGCGCTGGGACCTGAGCTCTTCTTCTCCCGGCCTCCTTTACGGCTGGGAGACGGACTGTCCCTCCCGTCACTGTCATTACAAGCCATAGAGCTCGGGCCTGGAGAGACACTTTGGACCTCTGTCGACACTGGACCTTTTTTGAGATTGGCCCCCTGCTGAGTGGCTGTAGGTGCAGACATGGGTACAGCAGGAGTGGGTGCAATGAGTGCTGCTGGGTGGCTTGTTTCTATACAGTTCCCAGTGGGAGAACTCTTGTCCGGGTTGCCATTGCTGTTATTATTCATCGTGTTGTTTGTGTTAGCAGCTGCCAAGGGAGTACCAGTGGCAGCGGCAATGTCCCCTAGCATTTTGGCTCTCATTTTCTCCCGTTTAGCCTTCCATTCCTCCAAAAAGTCCGTGGCTGCACTGGACTTGAAGCCTCCCGTAGCCATTATCCCTTTTTATTGAGTTCCTCTGCGCACGCCGAGTGTGAAATGTAACTTGGCTAACGCTTTGGTTGATGTGAACTCTCCTTGTCTCTTGTCCTAATCGCGCCACATTCCTCAAGTGATTAGCCTGGCTGCTGTTGACAGGTACAAGGAAAAGAAAGTCATTCTCACAGCAAACTAAACTTATAATGTTCAAGCAAAGTTATAATTACTTAACACGTTATATAACAAAGTGATACGCATGGCAGCGCCTTTCCAAAGTTTAACTTTTCCAAAGTTGGCGTTTCCTCGTTCGATTTACTTTCAATTAAACCATAAGTATAAAAAGTGTGATAAGAAGTGGTTGACAGACAAACAAAGAATTAAAAGCCAAAACCTTACCTGTTCGGTGCCGCTGCCTGTTCACGACACAGCCAGGTGTGCCCACGGGTCGCTCACGTATGGCGCTTGCTGGAGCGCGTCTGTGCGGCGCTCGCTCTGCCCTCTGCCACCGGGCTACTCCGGAAACTCCCGAAGAGTTCCGAGGAATGCCGACAGCCTGGTGGAGGCAGTCTGTCCTAGTACTTTTGGGAGTTTCCAAGTAGAGATAACATGCATAGAATATCCAAAGAATAGTCTATAAAAATTTTGAAATGTATACCTCCCAGAGCTTTTTTGAGATGTTTTTCCTTTTGTCAGGTGGTTGGCCCATGAACATCTCCAATGCAGAAGTTGGATTTTATGGACTTGTACACTTTTTGTGGACAGAAAAAAAATTTCTCAAGAAGTGCATTTCTTTTATATTGATATTTAAATGACATATTGATATTAAAAATGTATTTATAATACTTTAAAGTAGTAGTAAATTGAAATAAAAAAAGTGACTTAAATTATTTTTAATGCACCAATTAAAAAGGTTATTTATCCACCAAGAGTGTTCTAATAGATTCCCTGAACCTATAGATCTGCAGTGCTGTTAATTGCACAACAAGGGCTGATCTTTGTGCAAATATGCATTGCTCAATTGAGGTTTCCAACACAGATCCCTCAGACATGAGGATGACTCACTCAATCTACTGCTGTAGTGATCAGAGGAAGTCTCCTCTCATTTTTAACAATCTGTTAAAGTGCAAACATATAAGAGGAGCAGTAGAATAATGTTGACATTTAGGCCTGTTTATTTTATGTACAACAATTTGTTCTTCCAGGCAGATGCTTTCTAAAGCAGGATTCTCAGGCTTTTTGAGGCCGGGGACCCCCTTATCGTTATGAAACTATACCAAGGACCCACTATCGTCCATCGCAATGGCATTGCAATAAAGTTAGGAGGTCAAGCATGTTTATAACCTAATTTGGATGAAGACTGATTTTTCATAGTCCTCATCGTCATTTTATTGGTGTGATTGTAGCCATCAAAACACAAAACATAAAATATTTCACTGTATCATAAGAAATTATAGTAGGCCCTATTTAAGTCATGATTAGTTATTATTACTATTTTTGGAGACCTAAAAAGGGACCCCCAGGGGTACCTGTACCTCACTTAACTTAAGTAACAGTAGGCTACTGTTTTGTTTTGGGGTTTTTTATGTTCAGTTCAACCAGTCTACTTTTCAGTGCACTACATAATAAATATATAACTGAATATGTAAATGCAAGAGTGACAGGTCACTCTTGCAACTTTCATCATCATATTCTTACTGATATAGATGTGGGCAATATATCTGGACAATGATAATGATAGTAAATATTGCTTTGAAGATAAACAAAATGTTGTAGGCTTATTGTTTACAATAATAAAATCTCAAAATGCTGCTAATTATTTCAGCACTTGTGGATAATTGTTTAAGCTTTTACACATTAGTTCAATAAACCTCAATGGTTTAGCACATTTCTGTTCGGCAGACATGTGGTCTCTATATTATTATCGGCATATAGTAACAATTTGAGAATATTTTTAAATTATGAATATATTCAATATCACCGACCCCTATTACTTGTGCTATAATGTATAACTCCACTCTCCAAAGGCAGGCAGTTTTAAAACGTTTTACATTTTCTTTTCCCTGTACTTCCCTTATAATACCCAACAAGTTGGCCTAATGAACAGAAGCTATTTTCAAATAATGGAATTCATTATTAAATATAAATGGTCCTCCTATCTGGAGATAGTAATCCATGTTAGCAGGAAATATATTAACATGGTATGCTGCAAATTACTACCTCTGCATAGCTCGCTCTCTTGTAAAATGTCAACAGTATCCTACACATATCTGATCTCTCATGTGCAGTTACCCATAATGCATGGGGCCCCTCTTCTTTCCATAATAATTTAAACATGGTTGAGGTGCTTGCTGCAGTAAACCTATTTCATGCCACGGTAATAGCACTATAACTTATCTGCACTGGAAGGTGCTGTTGGATATGTATGCATCATTTTCAGTCCCAAAGGTGCAATGAATTTTGGGTGAGTTTATTATCAACATGGCCCTGAATTTTTAATAAGTGAGAAAATTCTGCTTGCTTGTGTGCTCCCTGGCTTGTTTACCTAAAATTCCAGCACCAAAACCAAAACTCAGACATTCACTTGTTATCACTCTGTGTGCCAGTGCTGTTACTGATATTGGGAAATTAAGCAGGGTAAAGGGAGGGTGGTGCCTCTTCTAAAAATAAACCCTGAACTATATGAGCCTGGGTCACTGCTGCATATTTAGCATATTTGTGTCGATATGGCTGTTATAAAAGAGGGAAAAGAAAGTGAAGGGGTCGCAGAACTGTTACTGAGCACTACTGGTTCTCAAACCTGATACTGAGAATGAAAATATATGTGGTTTCGCAAGTGTTATCTTTAATGAATGAAAGCTATTTTAAATAAAAACTTTCAAAGTCTAAAATAAATAGATGTATATTAGGTAAGACTGGGTCGAATCAAGACCAAAGTTAAATCTCAACAAATAACAGACTAATAAACCTGAACCACAGCTTAAGCAGAACCGAACTAAGAGAGAGATATATTATAGAGATAATGGCGATTAACGAGGACAAAATACTGTATATGATAGCAACGTGATGTCACATGGACTTAAAGAGTGAGTGTGTCATTTTTTGGAGGTGACATGTGAACTGTCACCTCCAAAACTGACAGTTCTATGGAAAAAGGAAAGTTATAAGAACACATCTGAACACTCTCATTAAATATATGGGTATGTTTTATGCAGTACTGTGGAATATTATAGCTAAATGAACACTTTCTTGGAAACAACTAGAAGGAGGCTCTCCTTCAAGCCATGAGAAAGTCAAGTTCGTGGAGGTGGAATCCTGCTCAGATGCTAAGTTGTTCAGCGCAATAACACAACCAAACTAATAAAGACTTTTATTTTAATCTCTTTTTCAGCTAAAAAGCTACTTTAATGTATTGTCTCTCAGACTAACCCAAAATAATGCAGGACTGACTCAAGAATAACAGTACCTAAATCAAGACTATTCTTTGCTCTGGTCAGAAAAAGGCTGAATATAACATTAAACCAATTCAATAAAACTGGAATATCTAATATGACTGATGGTCCCTGTCATTTTAAAATCATTGGTCTGTACAACTCATTACAGTGTTGCTAATTCAAAATTACAAGTTACTCAAATTTAACTTATCACGCTAAGCACTTTATTTTGATTAACTCAAAACATACATCATCACTGTCAAAAATAAAGGAGAAATAATAATTGCCAGTTGTCAAATACAGGGGCCTGGTATTTATATAAATAATAATAGTGCTGGTGCATAATGGCCACTCATGCATCCACACATTTTCATTTATTTCACAGTAATATTCAAAAGCTATTATAGAAGTAATTGTATAGCCCCAAAAACCATGCCTCCATGAAATTGTTTACAGAAGAACTGAAAAAGCCAAACATTTTTTGGGCATGTGCACAGAAGAAGAGAAACAGTATACTGGTGAAGTGATTGAGACAGAATTTTGTATTGAGTACTACCCTTATGGTGGCACGGCCCTTCTCCATTTGTGATGCCAACTTGGTAGGGTCCCATCTGCAGGGTGCCATCTGCACACAGTGATGTATGTGGACCGTCTAGGGTCAACACACAATGACCTCTCTCCACACCTCTCCACAAACACTCTCAAAGTCACACAATGTCAATGTACAACTCAAACAAGTGAGTTTGTGGGACTAAACTACCTCATGTCAAAATAATTAATGTGACTAGGCAGTCAAAGTTTAAGAGACTGCATGTAACCATTAGTTAAACCATCTTGAGAGTTTTTTTTGATATTGTATGATTAATTTTACATGTGAAATCTAATAGTTTTAAACACACAAAGACTTTAGGACCTTGAGTTTGCCTCATAGCTATTACTGAATGTCTCTACCGTCTCTCTCCACATTTCACACTACAGCTGACAATGGAAGAGAAAATATTGAGAATAAACACGCTCTTGGTTACAATACAATATAATTTGGATTGTGAAATAATTTCTGATAGGATCCCCAGTGATATGAAAAGTGGGTCAAATGCATAGGACTGCAGAGATTTTAAGTAAACTACAACTTAAAATTGAATTTCACTGAGTACTGAATTTGGACATCGGATTCATCTCATCTTCATCCACAACAAACATGAATGTCATTGGACAGTGGGGAGAAGACAGAGATCTCCATGGTAACCCTGGAACACATTCAAAATCATAGACCTAGATCATGACTTGACAAGCTCAGGTATCCCCTGCTCCATCTCTGTATTTTCCTCTTTAGATGCTCTCACACTAAATCAGCCTTTTCTTTTCAAGTGTGTTTGTCTTTGTTTCAGTGACAGAATCGAGCTGTCACTTTATCACAGCGCTTCCATTTGTCATTGTTTGTCATGGGAGAGGATCCCCACTGCCGTCTGTCCTCAGCTCCTCAAGGGTTTTGCTCATCCACTGTGTCTAAGTCTTAAAATTGCTATTGGGGAAAGGAAGGTTTGTTTGGGAATACTTGCACTGTATGGTTTAAAAAAAAAAAAGCAGGAGATTAGGCCAAAGCAGGGATCAAAGGACTGACAATAAAAGTGTATGCGTGTGACGGCAGTTGTCATGGATCTTGGATCTTTCTTATGGATAATTTCCATCCTCGAAAACCACATTACATCATGACAAACTAGTCAGTTTGTCCAGAGGTCAAGCTCTGTAAATTGGTCCGGTGGTCAAGTTTAATGTGATACAATGGAGCATTCTAATCTAAGCAAAGCAATAATAATGGAGACCTGTGGATGATCCGCCACAAGAAAATTTACATAGTGTACCTTAAAGTTTCATGAGGTGGTACAATTGAATTAGAAAAATATATATACACTACCCTGAAACATTACTTTGAACCTCAATGTCTTGTTAGAGAAGACTGATGAAGCAAGTTATTTTATACAAATCCAAGCAGGCGCCATGGAAACTGCGTCAGTTTGTAGGAGTCTGAGCAGTTATAAGATAGTGGGAATCCCTGACTTTAGACATAGAGATCTAGACATAAGAGTTTCATCATATTGAGAATGCACAGTTCAGAATATTCAAAATCAGTTTGAACATTTGAACAACTGGAATATCTTAAGCACTATATTACTTTTTTCTTGTTTTCATTACAAAAATTATATCGAAAATTCTAAATCTTAAAAATGTTTTTTCCTTGTCCTTTCTTCTCCATGCCTGATTACAACTCTATTAACTTTGTTTATATCCTTCATACCCAATTTAAGCTTCAAAATGATAAAATGGCAGTTTGTAAATGTAACGCCATCTTCTGATGTGTTGCAGTACTACAGATGTCTTCCTTCTCTACTTACTCTGATATCTTTCCAATTTGGAATACAATTAAATAATAAATAAACAAAATAATTGCAATGCGGACAACATGAAACCTTTACAATGTACAACTTTATTTTAATGAGCTCTTCAGTGGTTGGTAGTCACAGCACAGCTTGCATGTAATAAGCCACACACCTATTTTACAAGATGATGAAAAAACAAAAACAAGTCTAAACCAAAGTAGATGGTCATCCATCCCCAGTGACTTCTCTCTTCTTTTACTAAAATATCCTTAAAAAGGCCACTGAAATGCATACATTGATTTACATGTGTGGAATATTGGTGGCATCAGCTCAATCCTGACATCAGGACTCCTCACATAGCATTGACAGTGCATGAAGACATTGTAAAAAAGACTGGGTTAGCAACATCTTGGCTATAATACTACAGCTTTAAAATGGAATGAAAACAAAAAGCCTTCTTCCAAGCCAGAGAGAAAGTGAAATGTAGAAAAGCGCTTATCTCACAATTATGTGTACAGTTACCTAAACCTGAAAGCACTAAACATGACTGCCGTCTCTTTAAGGGAGGCTCATCTGTTTGTCTCTAAATAAAATAATTAAAACACACCTCTTGATCTCTGGAATTTGTATACGTTTAATAGTAACAGACGGGAAAGCTAAATGCATGCCATGTGCTGATCTCAAACAAACACATTCAGGTATATACAGCATCACTCAGTACCTGCTAAAACAAGTGAAGAGAGTATAACTGACTACACTACAAACTTAAAATAAAAAGAGGGGAGCAGAGTGGGCCATGAGTATGGTGGAAGAGTGAAAATCTACCTGTGACGGACTCATCATTAAAGCATTAAAAAAAATAAATGCATATTGCACATACAATGAAAGCTTAAATTCCACCAGTTTTGCCTCAGATTACTAAAGCAAGAATGAGTTTTCCCTCTTGGAGGAAGACAAAAGCAGGACAGGGTGCGCTTGCATGAGACAGGGGCTTCCTGTACTGGCCACAGGAGCAGACAAAAGGGTGGAGGTGGCACTTGGAGAGCAAACAGGGAGACAAGGGGGAAACTGCACAGCAAACAAGGCTAACAAAAAGAAAACAAAAAACATACAAATAAGAGATTGTGGCACAAATAAAATCAGGTGTTGAATAATATCTGTTCTTCAGTGAGAGCTGAGAGAGGTTGATGAAAGTGTTTCTTTTTTAATCTACAAATAAGGCTTATTGGTTAAATAGTTTTTCGGCTTCCCCGCCCACAATGCTTTGACATGATCAGCACACAACCATTTTCCTTTGTAAACTCAGTGGTTCGTTTGGGAGTGTGGGCATTATGTTGCCAGATTTGGACCAGAGGATGAACGGAGAATGAGCACTGCAGCTTTGAGCGAAGGGAGCTAAAGAGTTCTGAAGAGTATATGAAAAAAGGAGTCTTGCCTCTGATGTCTGTTGCAATTAATTTCTAAATGTGCAATTCCATTAGTCACTGCCAGGGGGACTAGGGGTGCAGAAATTGGGGTGGGGGTCCTGCTCTACTTGGAAAGCTTGCTAATGACTCGAATGAGCGCTCCGTTTTCGTCCTTTAGTCTCTGGTTGTCTGCTTTCAAGTCTGGGAGCATCTGAAATGGAAAGCAAAAAGAATGAGGGAGGGGGAGAGAGAGACAAACTTAGCATAGACAGGTCTGAACAGACAGTGGTGTTTAACCAGTCAAACTGGCTGTGCAAACTGTTAATTGCAGTCTATTTTCGATACATCATGTTTTAATTGGTCTCTTTTGTAAAATCACATCCTTGTGCCATGTCAAAAGGGAGCAGAGAGAGAGAGGACACATCAGAGGCCAAAGTTCCTCAGAAAGCCATGCACACTTAAACTGACTGCTCATTAGGCACTCACAAAAAAAAAACAAAAAAACACAAACACTTTGACATTTTAAAATGTTTTTCTTCATTGTTGTTAACTTTTTGCTAGTTATTAGTTTGTTACATACAATGGCCTGACTTTTTCCAACTCTGATCATTTATAATACCGAGTGTTAGTGCAGATGAACATAGCCATAATATGCAAAGAATTTGTTTTACGATCAAGGTTTACTGTATCTGGAAATCAAAATATACACATTTGTAAGGATTTTACGTTATGTCTGATGAAAATGAAACCCCAAGAAAAAAAGTTACTCCTGATTTATATCACATAAATAAAAAAGGTTAAAATTTACAAACAATCTATAAGAAATACTACTGTTAATGCAAATGGATTTGATTCTTCTCAAAGCAAAGTGCAAACACAGCAACTCGATGAACCTGTCCGTGCATGCACTTGGCTCAAGGATGTACCGATGTCAAATTAAATTATGGAAAACTCTTTGGAAAACTCAACCGGGGCAGTAACACAAGTTCTGTCTGAGAACCTGGGCCAAGAGTTCATGAAGCCACTTCATGCAAAGAAGCCAGAACAAAGCAAACTTTAAAACTGTGCTCTCTTATTCGAGCAAAACAAGAAGGACACTTTCTTTTACAGCCCCTTCCTTGCATTACTGGATGCTTCAGGATGAATGACTATTATTAATATCTGAAAAGGTGTATGGATAGATCACAGATAGGAACAGTAAAACAAAAGTGTCCTGTCTGGAAAAAAAAACACTCTCCCCATTTAGAAAACCCAAAGCTCTGGGGAGGTCAAGCATCAAAGAGCGGGAAACCTGTGACGAGGGACACCTGCCTGTGTGTGCGGGGCAGTGCAAGTATGATGCATGAGAAGAAGAATGGGGTTGGGGAGGGGAGGAAAGAAGACCAAGAGGAGATGGTGGTAGTTTAGAGGTCGACGCTGGGGAGCTGGCTGCAGGCGGACTGCGAGAGCTTGGCCACCACACGAGACAGGGCCCTGTTCTCTGCCTGCAGTCGCTCTTTGACCTGCCGCAGAGCCTGAACCTGCTTTACCTGTGGGAGGTTCTGCAGGGAGGGGCAGTAACCACAATACAGGGCCATGAAATGACAACACAGAGCAACGGAATGGAAATAACAATGAAGAATGACAGACAACGAATTAATTGAGAATTAATGAAGGACAAGAGAGAAACAAACATGAAAACAGAAAAGAGGGACCAGAGAAGGAAAAGAACAAAGAATGAAGACTGTTAGACTATGGGGGCAAACTGACAAAGTGCTGTTTGGCTGAGCATGAAACTTGTACATAGATGTATGACACTACTGTAAGACCAACAAATATAACAGTTCAATAATGACATCAAGTCTTTATTTATTTATTTATTTTTTTTAAGTTAAAATAGAACTTTTCTGTAATGGATTAGGTATTACTGTACCAGTGTTACATAAAAATCAAAATGATTCCTAGCTAAAACTTTATGCCTCAAATGTGTGTGAGCAGTAATACCTTAAGTTCCTCCTCCATTTCAGATATCTTCCTTTCTAGCGCTCTTCTTTCCTATGTGTTGGAGAGAAAAATACTGTTAATTATTGAAACAAGTACCCTGAAAACACAATGGAAAAAAACAAAAAAAACAAAAAAAAAGGTGTTTGATTCTGGGAGGTGAAAGTGTGGGAGCACACAGTTGAAAACACACACACTCGTGAGGTGTGAACAGGCAACAGCCAGTCCAGGCCAAAGGGAGGTGAGATGTATAATTATTATTATCAAGTTGAAAAGTTAGAAGAGTGCAAATGCAAATGTCTGTTTGATGATATGAGATGAGGAAATGGGTTATCTTACAATGGGAATATAAAGGATTACAATTAAAACAGGGTGAAATGAAATGGGAATGTAAATTTAAATTTATTATTTAGGTCAAGTAATTATTTTTGTAGATACTGTAAATGAGAAAAAATAAATTATGAGTAACTTGCAGTGATTATGAGTTAAGATGCTTAATTAATGTGATGATAATAACTGAGTGAAGTAAAAGCAAAGATACATACCCATATTATACATACAACAACAATTATGATTACACAAAAGCAAGTGAACACACACATACACACACAGGAATACATGTTGGCTCTATTTGTGTGACCACACTGCCTCAGAGGTATAACACCAGTGTAGAAGAAGGTGGCAGTGTTCTGAGCAGAGAGGAGCACTATACGCCCAGTGTCAAGGGCGTGTGCAACATGGCAGGCAACAGCAGAGATAGTCTCATACAAAACTAAGTCATACCCAGATGATATTGGGGTCTGCTTGTGACCTTCAGACATAAATTCATGGGGAATGTTATACTAATGATTGAGTGTGCACCTTATAAAACAACTTTTCACTTTTTTCTTGACAGAATATATATATATATATATATATATATATATATATATATATATATATATATATATATATATATACTGCTGTTTAAAAGGAGTTATTGCTACATTACAAATACATATGACCCATTACCCTTTTCTCGATCTCAAGCTGCGACCGGTCAGCATATCGTTCTTGCCTCTGAAATAAAAGAATGAGGCTGTTAACACCTGTATGTTAATAAACAAGGAGGAAACAAACCATAAAACCTAGACCAGTATTGTAGTATTATACTCTAGTTTTCGTATAGATCTTAAGTCCTTGATAAATATCTAAATAAGAATAATTAATGTACCTGTGTGGCCTTCTCTAGTTGTAGTTTCAAATCTGTCAACTCCAAGTCTGTGTCCCGTAACTGGGCTTTTAACTTTTCATTCTCAGCTAAGATCTGCTCATAGAGCTGTGGGACACACACCAAGCAGAGTGGATCAGTACACAGATATGTTTACATAATATAGTGTTTGATTTGGCATGGCAAGTTATATAGTAAGATATACCTTTTTATAGTCAGTGGCGTCATCTTTATCGTGCCGGCTTGAG